AAGGCTCCATAATAGCCCATACGTTCAGAAAATGGCGGCTGATCAGCTGCTCATGGGGATGAGCGCCATCTCTCTGAGGAGGAAACACTTCTGGCGGAACAACAATAAAAAAAGCGGATGTGACGCAATAGCTGCAAAACAAGTGACATCGTTTTGTGTGTACTAGCGGGAAATTCGACCTCAAGTTGCTTTTCATCGGCCTCTGATTGTTAAGGACTCGCGTTAAGGCGATCAGCGGCGATCCTCCAAGAGTCCGCTTCAAGTGAACGCTAGGTATCTAATACTGACTCATGACTATAGCTAGTGATGTTTAACTGTACTACGTTCAGTTTGCCTCGGTTTTTAATGGATACTTTTTCTTTGTACTTTTATTCGGCGTTAGTCATCTTCCGCAGATAGATCGAAGCAACCAACAGCGTACCTGTCATATCTGCAACGTTGCTTATTTGCTTCGCACATACGCAGATTTTTAGTCTGTACAATGCCTCTGTCCAGTACATACAGTAAGAAATAACGCCTAGTCACGCCAAAATTATGACATATCAGTTTATGTGGGGTTTAACATCCCAAAACCACCATATGATTATGAGAGACATCGTAATGGAAAGCTCCGGAAATTTTGACCACCTGGGGTTCTTTAACGTGCACCCGAATCTGAGCACACGGGCCTACAACATTCTCAGCTCCATCGAAAATGCAGCCGCCGCCGCTGGAATTCGATCCCGCGACCCGCGGGTCAGCAGCCTAGTACCATAGCCCCTAGACCACCGCGGCGAGGCAAGACATTTCAGTTTAATTTAACGATCATAATAACTCAAATTTATTACACTGCACACGACGGTAATAAGCACAAAGAAGTCTGCGGACTCTTCATGCGTTATGTTTTGCATTATGTTCCCATAAATTACGGTTACGTATGCAAATGCAGGCATGCGAATCGTAGCGCGATTCACAGCTTGACAATCTACTCACCGATAACACGAATTATAGTAGGCATTACATGCTCAAGAAGGAAACCGGGCTGCAGGAATTACTGATGAATGAAAGTCCAGTGAGCACTGTATTCCTAAGCATTGCCCTGGTCTTTTATCTAGAATACATGGGTCGCCAGGCATACATTTGTTGCTACTGCATCCCCGCACAGTACATCGTTTCCGCAGGTACCGACGCAAGCACTCGGCGTTAAATGTAATCCGCGAAGCACTGAAGACGTTCGCCAACGATAAAGTACACCTCACGATTTCGCGCACAGCAGAGAACGCAAAAGCGGAATGCTAAAACACGTGAGAGGGTGTGTCGCCGCATACGAACTTCACGGGCGCCCATGCCGTGCAAAGGCTGCAATGAGTAATAAACATATCTAGCAGAGGGCGCTAAAATTTTTTTTCGTGATAATGTAAAAATGTCTTGAATTTTTTGCTCTCTACACTTACATAATATTGGGGGAAAGAAATGTCATTTGTACAACATAGTGATTGCTTCGTCTTTGAATAAAACTTGGTTTTTCACTGTATAGTATTTGTTCCCTCCACACATAGTCGCGCTTCAATCACGGCTCCCATAACTTCCCGTGCTGATGTGACTGGCAATAGCTTCTGAGCCGCTTTTATCCCCGAACTTTCACGACCTATGTGAATAGACCTTGCCTATCATCCCTTCAGGCATGCGCTGCTGCACTTGCGCGCGCATAGCTGTGAAAACAGGAAGCCGAACCACGCAGGTGCACGTGTCCACCCGTATAAACGTTATCTAAGTGACGCCGATTCCTGATACCAAACACAGTGGGCCGTCAGTTTGTGTATACACCTGGCCCCGCGCCCACGCAGAATTTACCATTGCTTGCTGCAGCGCGTTTCAAGGTTAAAGTGAGTGATCGCTGAGAAGGAAGTATCGTATGTCCTTAACATCGCACACGAATGCATAAATCCAACAGCTGTTTGCAAACTATTCGGTACCATCATTCTAAGGCAGTTTTCTTGAACTCTTCCGAAAATATCATCGAGAATTTAAGCAACCAAGGCATTGCTGAAATTCTCAAGGAAAGACTTGCATGAGCGTCTTTGTATGCTCGTAACGGCACCGTTTACCTAACAAGACTGCGGCTCTGCTCTGTGAAGTTGTGCATGTGTCCGCTCCCTCTCTCTTCTTCACTGTTCTTCCAATATCCCCCACCCCTTCCCCCTGTGCAAGGTAGAATAACCGTTACGTTAAACTGGTTAGCGTCCCTGCCCTTCATCTCACTCTTGTTTTCCTTGCTTTCTCAGACGAGGGAAGAACGTAAACCGGGCGCTTAATTGTGTATGTTTTTATGTGTTAAACTGACTTACGTAAAAGATTATAACTTACAGTGCGATTTCGTACGACTCTTTCCTATCTGATAGCCTTCATCATTTCACGTTTTCTTCGAAAACCATGCCCGGTCAACGCCATCTAAGGGCGCCGACCAACAGCTTCTATACAGATGATTATGCAGAAACAGTGAAGAAATCGATACCTGCAAAATCGTATGTCTGTACCAGCGATGGCAAAATCACTCCCAAAAAAGCAATTCAGCCGCAGTTCTGATTAATCTTCAAGATTTTTTGAATGTCACGAAACAAGAATACATGTGGTGAAGTTACCTCGAAACTTGTTGGAGCAAAAGTTCATCATTCGATATTCCACAACTGATATTCACAGCAAATATACACTAAAATTTCTGGGCTTTCAAGTTCATTCAAATTCCCACTTGTGAGGGTCGGCACTCATATTAACTTGCCATGATTACCTTTAATTACTCTTCTGGTCATTATTTTACGCCTAAATTGAACAGGACACACTATATTGTAAATAAGTGAAAAAGTACTGAGAAACTTACTCGAAATTACTCGATTAAATTAAATATTTATATTACCTAATTACCGGACTACAAAACTAAATAATTAAAATACCTATTAGAGCAAGCGGCAATTTAATTTCTGTAATTTCATAACTGCCAAGTCTGGTCTGTACAGAAGAACACCACTCCTCAAGCTTCTTCAGGTGCGTAACGCTGCCGGCAGCAGCATAGTCTTGTACCACAGACACAGCTTCCTGCAGGGCGTCCTGAATGGTTCCGTCTGATCCTTTGGTTGGCCAAATTGTAATGTCATCTGCATAGATGGCATGCTGGATGTTGGGAACCTGTTGTAATAGGGAAGGGAGTTTAGCCATAGCCACGTTGAACAAAGTGGGCAAGAGAACCGAGCCCTGTGGTGTTGTTATTGGTATACAAGCGGCGCCGAAAAACCACTGATTCTCCCGACATTTCGCTGTTTCTTGATGGCCATCATATCCCTCTGGTACCACGAATTCACATTTTAGGCCTCTACCTTCAGTCCGACGGCAAGGCCTCGCACACTACACACCTTCTGGCTCAGCAGATAACTTAAATTACACACATGATCCAATGCATCACCAATCGCAGGAGAGGCCTCTGTGAGAAGGATGTCCTCCGCTTAGTACAAGCACTCATAGTTAGTCGGCTCACCTATCATCTTCCCTTTCACAATCTCACGCTAGCTCAAATAAAAAAGATGGACATCCTTCTACGGACAGCTGTGAAGGCGGCTATCGGCTTGCCTCCACACGCATCTACACAACGCCTCCTTCAATTAGGAGTCCACAACACCGTAACCGAACTCATCGAGGCCCAGCACAACAGTCAGCTCCAACGGCTCAGGCAGACCCGTCAGGGCTGCGCCATCCTGTCTCGTCTTGGCTACCCGATTCCCCCAAAACCCGCACAAGTACCACGACATTAACTTGCTTCTACTGTCCGCGCACTCATCAAAGTGCCTCCGATTCAACGCTATATGAATCCCTCCCGCCACGCCAGTCGTCGACGTGCCCGATTTCCGGCTATGACACGCGACTTTGGTGATGGTACCTAAGACTTACAAGTACTTTACACTGATGCAGCACGCTACCCAGAGAAGTCAGTCATGTGTTTAGCCGTGACAGATGACACAGACGCCCTTGTTGTGTCTGCCACACTTCACACTACAGACAGTGGTCTGGCAAAGGAGGGAGCTCTCGCTCTGGCAATTGTTCACGCTACGACACTGTCACATGACTCCCCTATCACTATTGTAGCAGATTCACAAGCCATGCTTTCGCTCAAAGACTTGTGGCTGCACACACACACAATATCCTCTCTTCTGTCTCACCGTCCGCATTACGTCCTGTGCGTATCGTCTGGACTCCTGGACACGCCTCTCTCCATGGTAATAAACGCGTTCATGCGGTTGCCCGAGAGCTGACCGGCCGGGCTCCATGGGAAGAGCTGTCCAATCCAAACGACGCATCGACAGAACCACTAAACTACAACGCTACGATGGAGTACTACTGACAGAGCCGTTATACGTATCCTCCCCCTCATCCTTCACTTAACAGAGCAGATGCTGTCGCTTGGCGGCAACTACCGACCAATTCATTTCCTTGCCTTTATATGCTAAATCGCTTTCATCCGACTCTCTACCCCTCCTACTGCCCCTCCTGTGGATCCGTACCGACGATGTACCACTCCACGTGGGAATGCTCTGCCCCACAGGGCGTTCCTCCCATTCCCGATCCCACCCCTTCATCTTGGGAGTCTGCACTGCTCAGCTTGCGTCGGCAGGAACAGCAGCAGCTGGTCCAGCGGGCTCGCAGGGTCGCGCAAGGCAATGGAGCCCTGGACTGAGGGCCCCACCCAAAGAAGGCTCAGTGTGCATTTGTTATTAATAATTGTTTATTCTCTCTCTTCAGCCGCCACCTTTACCTATATACTTATACCTCTCACAAGTCAGCGACTCAGCGATAACTTGCGGGCTAGACTCGACTGCGCCGTTAAAATGGGAGTGTTGTTTCTCGATCGTCTGCAGCTCTTATCTGTTAAGAAGATAACGAAAACAACGAGAACCACAGCAGCGCAGCTTAGTTAGGCATCAAATGCATGCGTGGTCCGAGTACGACTTGTGCCACACACGTAGCGCTCGGTTTCGCGGCAAAACGGATCTACGGAAGATAAGGAACGTCTTCGACCGCAGCCGACGTCGAATTTAGGAAGATAAGAAGGAGGCTGGATTGTGCGGCGCTTCCTTTTACGGTGTTTACAGCACGTGAACATGAAGCTTGCTTTGCTGGCGCTCTGCACGCTGTGCAACGGCGCTAAAAGCTGGTTCGGAGCCTCCATGCGAAGCCTCTACAACGGGTGAGTGCCAGATTGCAATTTACTCTTTTTTATTTTCTAAAGCGAGAACATTTAAATGGCCACTAAAGGCTAGTGTTAAGCTAAGTTGTACGAACTAGTGGGTCTTGGTTATGCAATTGCAAAATTGGCTGCCTTGCCTTTACGAGGTGCGTTACAGGATGCATAACAAAAAAACGATACGCCATATTAAAGTTCTCGCATCACTTCAGGATCGCGTGAGTGCTACGCCTCAACAATACCTAGAACATGCTTTAATTAAGTAAATTGTTTCAATAATGATAATAATTGGTGGTGTTCTACTTGTCAAAATCTGGATAGAATTACGAAGCACGCCGTAGTTGAGGACATCGGATGGTATTCTTTAACGTGCAAATATAAACCACACGGGTCTGCTTCGCATTTCACCACAGAAGCGCCCTACCTGACGTGCAATGTTTTTTTTTTTTTTGTTCTTGTTCAGCAATCAAGGATGTGAATGTTAAATTGTTGTTTCCCAGCATCGAAATCAGCACAATTGCCGCGAGATGGCACCTGGTAAGCGGGCAAACACGAAAAAATAAAAAAAAAAAAGCGAGAAAGTGGGTGGCGACGCCATTTTGAAGTTTTCGCACCGAACGCCGTTACGTCATGAATTTTCGACGGCGTCTACTAAGGCGTACGAAGTTCCTAGTAGTCAAATATGAAGTGCGTTGTCCCCTAAGGGGACCAGTGACTTAGCAGGATATTTTGCTCAACCAAAGTCGCCGAAGTACAAGAGCGGAGGGGGGGGGGGGTGATCTGAAATTTGTGGAGCATCATGTGTATATTTCGGCACGGAATTTAAAAGTTAAGCTTCTTAAACCTGTGGTGGTGAAACTCGACTGTGGAGTTTTCTTAGTGTAATTTAACACTATACACATATTCATTGTTTCACTTTCGTGTCCCTTTCAGCAAGTTTCGGAATGATAATTTGCCACGCTTGCGCGCCAGTGCAAGCACGTACGAGACTGTACGAGCTCGTTCAGGTGAGTTAAATGGTTTTACCAAACGGAAGAACCAAGCCACAGCCATCTTATGACTAACAAGAGAGTTCCATGAGGCTGTCTCAAACGTAATGTCACCGACTATTTCTTTGCACACAACCACAGGCCGGACAGCGTCCGCAGAGCGGCTCCGCAGCTGGACGACGACGTAGGCGAACCCCTCTTCCTGACTCCGCTCATCGAGGCGGGCCTGCTGAGTGAGGCGCGATACCTCAGCCGCGTCGGTTCACTCGGAGACGTGCACTACTTTCCAAGTCACTCAGGATTCCTTACGGCCAACAAGACATACAACAGTAACCTGTTCTTTTGGTTCTTCCCGGCCGAGGTGTGTATACGCTGCTGAAATTAAGACCTATTTCATGTTTGTAAACAGGGGTAGGCACCGTGGACATACTGAGGCGCTTGTAGCGAAGTCGCGGAGCGCAAGCCCAGCTCAAGTAAAAGTTCCCCATCGCCCCTTATGATCGTGTGACAACTGTGAGAGGCTACCCGACGCGCAGTGCTCGCCGTTAGTTTCACAGCTTCTGTGTCAGTTCTCACGCGGTCATACGTGGCAGTGTTGAGCTTTGGGCTGCGCCTAGCGTATACGCTCCACGACGTCGCTACAAGCGCACCTGATACTTTACAAAAATGAAACGGGAAGGAACAGGAAGGATATGCAAGGCAGGGATGTTAAACAGTCTAGAACGACCGGTATGCTACCCTATACTGGGGAGAGGGATGGGGGAGTTTGAAAGATGGAAGCATAGAACGGGTCTATACCATATGTCTATATAAGTGCGCGTAGGGTCATAACATAGCGAGGACCAAGTTTCACCGCAGCACTCCACCCTCACAACCAGGTGGTCGAGTCCAAAAGAAAACAAGCTCCACTATAGGTGCAAGAATGAAAAGGAACCTCTTGTTCCGCATAGTAGAATTATGAAAATGAAGCGATGACATGCATCTTGACACAGGCTGAGGCGTCCATTAATCCCCGACTTTTCATAGGCAAATGCGGCAAGCAAACGGTTATTTGAACGAAACATCTGGGCTCCTCGGCCGCTATTGTCGTCAAAAACATGCGTGGGCCTATAGCCCTTTAAATTAAACAGTGACGAGGGTTCTTAATAATTCTTGGGTTAGTAGGTTCATGCTTATTGGCGTAAAAAAAGGGATTCACACAGATAGGTCGCATAAAATAGTCTCAAGCTCTTCCCATCAAGATCAGCTACGGGCTTTCCAGAGGGTCTACGATGGCGCCATATGTGACGGTATACCGACGGGGGTAAACGCGCCCAGTGTCAGTCTGGGAAAACCGCCAATTAGGACTCTCAAGTTTTGTCAATGAATGAATCAACCAAAGAAGGAACAAGACAAAACACAGAGGACACCACCCTTCTCTGTTTTGTCTTATTACTTCCTTGATGGTACGCGTCTTCTTTGTATTTAAGTGACAAGTCTGACTAAGTAACCGTAGGGGGGAGGATAGACGCCCCCTCCCACTTAGATGATTAGAGAAAGCGACCACCCCCGTGCCACACATGCGCATGTCTCTGCCTGCTTGTCAACTCGTTGTCCATTCGCGGCCGGCTTATTCCGCTTCCAGGAGTACCCAGAAAAGGCACCCGTGGTTCTATGGCTTCAAGGCGGACCGGGTGCTTCCTCACTGTTTGGACTGTTCGTGGAGCATGGGCCGTATCTGGTGGCTAAGGGTGGCGTACCAGAGTTTCGCAACACCACGTGGGCTAAACGTTACTCCATGCTGTACATCGACAACCCGGTCGGGGCCGGCTTCAGCTTCACCCAGGACGACAACGGTTACGCTCGCAATGAGGACGACGTCGGCCGGGACCTGCACGAGGCCCTGCAGCAGTTCTTCACGCTCTTCGACGAGTACGCAACTAATGACTTCTACGCAACAGGAGAATCGTACGCAGGTGGGTTCACCTTGCAACTCTTGTGTAGATTTTTTGGACAACATAATTTATTAGATTTTATCTTTACGCACTGATATTACCGTATAATTGTTATGCGGCATTTCGCATAAGAGTCAATTTAACTTTTTTAAAATTCTAGTCTAGTAAATAAGTAAACAAAAAGAATTGAGTTACATTAGATTTTGACCGACTTGAGTTATTCAATGGAAACCTAAACTTAATTAGGAGGTTGCCTTTGTGCATCTCTTCCCTCAAAAAACTGCCACCGTGCCCTAAGAATAGAACTTACATCCTCAGTGTTGCTCGCGCAACCCTTAATCAGCTAAGCTACGGCGGCGGGTTGACGTAAAATATGGAGACGATAGTCGTAACTTAGGCAAGCACATGACACGTGCAGCATATACAATCTTCTGTCTTTCAAGTGGTTCAAATGAGGGTGATATCGGTGCTTGTGACATGTTTATTTCCTCTCCGTGAACCTTTCTTGCACGTTCTCAGATATGCTTCGTCATCAACACATATAGACGAAACTTACCGCAAACAGCGCTGTCCTCTGCGTGCTTTCTTACCTATAAATGCATGTGTGAGTTTACGAGCGACTGAATGCGCATCATCTAAGAAATGAGGTTTCGCAAATTTCGCTCCAGTTGCGGATACGTTTGTCTTCTGGTTACAGGTAAATACGTGCCGGCCATCGCGCACGCCATTGACACAGCCGTGGCACCCAGAGTCAAGATCAACTTGCGTGGTGTTGCCATAGGAGCCGGAATGGTCGATCCGGAGACCATGCTCGATTTCTCCGGCTTGCTCTACCAGGTCGGCCTCGCAGACCGACGACAAGCCGACTACATTCGCGCCGAGACTATCCAAATCACCAACTACATCAAGCAGGGACGCTACCTGGACGCGCTTTTTATCTTCGACAAGTTAATAACCATCGACACTCTCTACCAGCCATCGTACTTCAAGAACATAACCGGTTCAGACTCGAACTATAACTTCCTGTTGTCCAAGAATCCCGAGTTCTTCACCTATTACCAAGCATTCGTGGACTCGCCGGAAATTTGCAAGGTCATTCACGTGGGGAACCTGACCTTCAACAACGGTGAAGCCACCGAGAAGCATCTTCGGGAGGACATCATGCAGTCCGTCAAGCCGTGGCTCGCCTCCCTCATGGACAAGCAGTACAAGGTGCTCATATACAACGGCCAGCTGGACATCATCTCGTACCCACAGATGGACAACTTCGTCAGCAGCATTCCGTGGTCGGGCAAGGAAGCTTTCGATAAGGCGGAACGTAAGATTTGGAGGAGATCAGACGGAAACGGTGTCGCAGGTTACGTTCACAAAGTAGCAAACTTCACGCAGGTTCTTGTTAGGAACGCCGGTCACATCTTTCCCTACGACCAGCCTGAGGTTGCGCTCGACCTCATCACACGATTTATCGATGATAAGCCATTCGAAGTGTGAGATATACGTAGCATGAAGAATAGGAGGAACGGCATATTTATTTGGTTATGTGGTAAATAAATAAAGTGGAAAGTGAATTGGGTAAGTGAGCTAAATATAACGTCAGTAGCGATGCTCAATAAAGTCGAAAACTCGTTTTCAGTACGTCTGCTCAATTTGCATGAAAGCTCACTGATGTGAATGTATTTATATACATTCAATTCTTCCACATATCGCGAGTCCAAATGAGCACTCGCCACCTAGCTGCTGCACCTGAAAACACCGCTAACATGCAGGGTCAACCTTGAAGGGAGATATGTTATGACGTTGCGCTTAATAAGCTGCCGCATAGTTCCTTTTTTTTCACAATGCCGCACGTGCGAGCCCTAAAAAGAAGACAGCGATATCTAAAGACCATTGCAGCGAGCCTCAGTGCGTGTCATTGCGCTGGAAAGGTGGCCACGTGTCGTTTTATCACTTCCTGAAGGATGCAGACAACGCGCGAGGGAGAACAATGCCAATCCGATATTTATGCATTGCAAAAGAAGGTGAAGGACACCACGGCTGTTTGTTTTAATCGATTCACTCGCGTTGACTTAACTCTCCTTGGTGAATACACAATTATATATCGTGTGTGAAGTTTTATCAATATTTGGGACCTTTTTTAAGGAGAGGAAGATTTCCTCCTTTTGGGGCTGTTGCACGAAAATACAAAAGCCGACGTCACAGCCTCAGTGCATTTTTTGGTGGTTCACGCGTACTAACAGCCCAGAGAGGACTGATTTATTGATTGATATGTGGGGTTTAACGTCCCAAAACCACCATATGATTATGAGAGACGCCGTAGTGGAGGGCTACGGAAATTTCGACCACCTGGGGTTCTTTAACGTGCACCGAAATCTGAGCACACGGGCCTACAACAGTTCCGCCTCCATCGGAAGCCCAGAGAGGACTAGGCCGGGCCCAGGGAGCCTTCAGAGAAAATGTCTATAGGCGCGAAGTACAGTTTCGTGTATATAATCAAGCACTTTAGGAAATTTGTTGCGTTACGTGTGTATTTTTCTCATATGCTTGTTTTATGCGTATGTCCTAGTGCTACCCCTACTCAAAAAAGAAAAAAAAAGCTGCTATAACCTTTCCGGCCAAACAACGTTTATTTCGCTAGTGTATACGCACGCACATAAATACGCGTGCGAAACTCGCGTATATATGCGTAGCGTGCGTGTATATATGTTCGCGCGTATATAATATAAAGTCCGTGCATTCGTAGCGTGCGTAGTGTGCGTGCATATATCTGCTTTGAATGTCAACTACTGCCAACACTGACACGCGAGTGTTCGGAAGCACACGACCTTATGCATTAGAAAAGTAATAACATAGATCGGCGAACGAAAACAAATGATCACTCACCTTACAATCGAAACCACGATTTGCCTTATCCCAAGATGCACTGGCCCAGGCATATAGCTACGCTCTGTAATCAAGTCAACGGCGTGAGTACTCAGGTTTTGACGCGACAACGAAACTCAATGGCATAGATGCAGTCAGCAGCACGAGTCACAGCGTAGTCACCTCGAAAGCTGTTACGACCTTTCATTTAGCAGTACAGCAACGCAGCGCTAAAGTGGTAGCACCTTTCCGAGAGGCCGGCTACACATGAGCAGTTGCCTTCTTCAAGCTCGGGCTCGCTAAACAGGTTCCTCAAATTGAACAAAATCTGATACGGTTCACCGGAGAGGTTCAATGTCTGCGAGCACTGCGCAACTATTTCCACTGTTTCGCCGGTGAAATCCTTAATGCCCATGATTATGAATAGGTCCGCAGCCAGGAGCCTTCAACGAAGCGACGCCGTCCAACACCAGAATCTAGAAACTTGCTCACAGCACCAAGCTAAAGTGCCACGTTGACCCTGTTAAGCGTGACCATCTTAGTTTTTTTCAATCAGTGTTGCCAGCACATAGAGTGTTTCCTGGAGTGGCGAATAGTCATTTTAGCAGCGGTCGGAGCTACATTGAAGTCAAGTACACTTTAATTGAAGGTAAAAATGAAATGTAGTGGGATGGAATGGATGGATGGGCGTGATTGATTAGTTGATTGATTGATGTATTGATTTATAAATGCACGGAACTTGAATGGACGGACGGACGGACGGACGGACGGACGGACGGATGGATGGATGGATGGATGGATGGATGGATGGATGGATGGATGGATGGATGGACGAACGGACGGACGGACGGACGGACGGACGGATGGATATAAGCGACCGCTGATTACAAAATATCGTGTGTCGTTAACAACGCACACGAATGCATAAACATCAACTCAACATCTGCTTGCAAACTATATTCAGTCTCACCATCCTAACGCAGTACTTTTGACCGCTTAGACAAGGAAGGAAGGTGACTGAGCTGATTGTCCATGTCTTCGTGCGTTAAACTGACTTAAGCAAAAGTAATAATCAACTTAGAGTGCAAAATTATTCGACTCTTTCATACTTGAGCCGTCATGATTTCACGCTTTCTTCGAAAAACACTACGGTCAAGGGCATCTAATGGCGCCGAACAACAACTCCTAAACACTAGATATGAAGAAACATTGAAACAATTATTAAAACAGTTAGAAAATTGTATATGTGCTCTTGAGATGGCCAAGTTACTCCTAAAGAGTAGTTCAGCTTACATTCTCAACTACTCTTCAAGATTTTTCAGTGTGGTGAAGCAACTATAAATGTTATAAAGTTAGTTCGAAATTAGTTACACAAAAGTTAATTAGATCATCCGCAACTCATGCAACACTTCACTCACAGCACATATACACTAGGATCCTTGTTGACCTTTTCACATTTGAGAGTTGATTTGAGGGGAGGGGGGAGGTTAACGTCCTAAAATTACCATATGATTATGAGAGACCTCGTACCTGGTGAAGGGCTTCGGAAAATTCGACCACCTGGGGCTCTTTAACAGAGGGCCAACACTCATATTAACTTGGCTTACTTGATACTGGCTACCTTCTTGGTGAATTTGTAAGCCATAAGGGAAGCAGACAGGCTATATTTTAGTAACAGGTAATTGAGAAAAGCAATGAGTAATTTGCTTGAAATTACTCGCTTCAAGAAATTCATTACATCACTAAACTACCAGCCCACAAAGCTAATTTATTACAACACTCGTTCAAGCAAAAATGAAACCTATCACTGTAATTTTATTACGTACTGCCAAGTCTCTTTAGAAGAGATCTGCTAACGCCCCCTAAACATCGATCTTCAAACGCCACTCGCCGCACCCCCCCCCCCCCCCCCCCGCCAATACCTTTCACGTGCCAATCACTCACCGATAAGTTGCGACGGAGGCTCGACCACACCGTTAAAAAGAGAGTATTGTTTCTCATCTACAGCTCTTATCAGTTAAAATGATAGCGAAACAGGGAGAGCCGCCACAGCAAAGCTTACTGAATTCGTAGCTCACGTATATACGACTTGTCTTTTTCGATCAGCGCTTCGTTTCTCCACAAAACTGAGATCTGAGGAAGGTAAGGAACGTCTTGGATCGCCATCGACGTCGCACTGCGCAAGATAGGAGGCTGGATTGAACGGCGCTTGTTAGTCCGGTGATTTAGGGCACGCGAAAATGAAGTTTGCCTGGTTGGCGCTGTGCACGCTCTGCAACGGCGCTCAGGCTTGGTTCGGTGCCTCCATGCGAAGGCTCTACAACGGGTGAGTACGAGATCGCAAATACATTTTGAATGTTAGGGGCCTGGGTTGTCGTATATATGCTGTCGTCACCTGGCGTAACGCAGGCAAGACGACGCATAGCATAGCCATCTGTAGCATAATGAGTAGGCGCTTGGGACAAGGACAATCCTTCTCACTCTCGTTCTTCAAGCGCCTCAATGGTGGTAGTAGCCACAAAGATAGCTGATTGGGCGTATATTGGTTTAGCATGACACAGGGTGAAAGTAGCGCTCGTATGTGTCAAGCCTTTTGTCAGTCTTCGTATTATGCGCTTTCGCCCTGGCATATCAAGTGCGGAACACTTAAGAAGTTCGAACTGCCATATGCTGTCATCGCTTGGCGCTAAGCATGGCAAAGTGCCGTACAGCATAGCCATCTGTAGAATAGCCATGTTTATCAAGGGGTCGGGAAAGGCAAGTGAGAGTGAGGAGGAGATATATTAGCCTGGGTGAACGGGAGTAAAGAAAGAAAGGGAGGAGGAAGGCAATACGCTGTCACCGTACACGCTGTCATCTTAGATCTCCGCTCACCGGCCACGGTGGTATAGTGGCGAAAAATTCCATTTTCTCCGCTTTCATTAAACCTATGGTGGTGAAAACGACAGCAGAGATTTTAGAGCACAATTTAACAGTCTAAACGTATCAGTTGATTCACTTTAGTGTACCTTTCAGCAAGTTCCGGAATCGTCTGTTAGCACATTTGCGAGTCTGAACAAACATGTACGAGGCTGTACATGCTTCTTCAGGTAAGTGAAATGACCTCAGCACATGGGTTCTCGAACCGGGGTTCCGCGGTGGTTTCGTAAAGGACATTTTAGGGTTCCGCGAGTGGCCAGAACAAAAGCGAACCACTCCCACTGTAGTTCCATTGGCGCCTGATTTGTGTATTTAGACAAGCTAACTTGCATTGCGTTTTGCACTTAACGAAGACATCGCACGCCACATCCGTGCGTCGGGTGTCACCGGATAGCGAAAGGTCCGCGTGATGGCAGCACTGAAGACTCGGGGTCTGGCGCACGACACCTTTCACAATTTTCACACTGGTGGTGACAAACCGCGCGAAGCGCTGGTAATTTTATGTTCGTGAGCATTCAAACTAGCTAAGCGCTTCACTCGTAGCTCAAGGGGTGCTGGCAATCACGTGGCACTGTTTTCATACACGGCGATTTTCATATCACAAGGCTCTGTATTATAGGACGTTTTCATGAAAGGCGATGGCCTTTAATATTAAAAAAAAACAGAGAACAGGCCAACGCGGTCAGTGTTATTACTGTATAGTTGTGCACGTTGAACGTCCCTGCCCGCTCCCAAGCCTTTGTTTGTCTTCATCTAAAAAAAACTTTGATAATAATTGTTGGGTGTTAACGTCCCATATACCCACCATATGATTATGACAGACGCCGTATAGTGGAGGTATCCGGAAAATCGACCACCTGGGGTTCCTTAACGTGCCCCTATATCTAAGCACACGGGCCTTTAGCATTTTCGCCTCCATTAAAAATACCGCGACCTGTGGGTCAGGAGCCGAGTGCCTTAGCCACTAGACCACCGTGGCGGGCTTCTTAAGAAAAGATCAGGGTTCCGTGGCACTCGGGAAAAACCGTCGGAGTTCGCTAAGGCCAAAAAAATTTGAGAAGCCTTGCCTCTATAGCAGAAGAAAAAAAAAACGTGAACGTCTCATTACTCTTTGAAGACATGTGTAAATAGCGCGAAGAAACCCCGATAGACACGCAGAACACGCTCACACGAACCGCCATGTCTGCGTGTTCTATGCGTCTATCGTATTTTTTTTTCGTGCAGTTTAAACATGTCTTCAAAATCAATCACCAAACAAGCCCAGCAATATGCATTCCTTGTTTTATCTGACAAACAACAACATTCAACAGGCAGCTTCGAACGCAATGTCACCCACTAATTCTTTGCACGTGCAGGCCGGACAGCATCTCCAGATCAACTCCACAGCTGGACGACGTAGGCGAACCACTCTTCCTGACTCCGCTCATCGAGGCGGGCCTGCTGAGTGAGGCGCGATACCTCAGCCGTGTCGGTTCGCTTGGGGACGTGCACTACTTCCCAAGTCATTCAGGATTCCTCACAGTCAACAAGACATACAACAGTAACCTGTTCTTTTGGTTCTTCCCAGCCGAGGTATGTATATATACGCCGCTGAAAGTTGTGCTGTGTGTCTGTATGCACGTAAACGTTTATCCTTGAACGAGGACCAAGTTTCGCCATAGCAACCACCCCACTCACTTGGTTGAGTCTGAAGAAGAAAAATATCACAGCATACACACGGAGTGAATGACGAGGAGTGGGACGAAGCGTCCGCGCGTCCATCTGTCCATGCGTGTATCCGTCCGTGTATCTGTCACCGCGTCCATCCGTCTACGCGTCTATCTTACCGTGCATCCGTCCGTGTTCGTCCTCCCGCCCGTCAGGATCTTTCCGACGAGCACGAGCCGCAGCGGCCTTCCGCACCCGGCGCTCCTCGTCATCCATGGTTCGCCAACCAGCCCGACCCAGCAAGCGCACCCGTACGGCGACGATGCAGGAGAATGAGAGATAACGGGGGAGCCGGCGGACCCCCGCGCACCAGCTAATCGGAGAGCAGCTGTACCGCCAACGCCATCTAGCATGCGTTCTCTCAGCCGCCATATTGTACGCATGTCTATGGGACAGCACCCTTTCGGAAACGAGACGAGAAATGGAGTGCGTACCACCCCATCTAGTATATCGTCATCCGTCTGCAGCTTGCATGCTGGATGGATGGATGGATGGATGGATGGATGGATGGATGGATGGATGGATGGATGGATGGATGGATGGATGGATGGATGGATGGATGGATGGACGGACGGACGGATGGATGGATGGATGGATGGATGGATGGATGGATGGATGGATGGATGGATGGATGGATGGATGGATGGATGGATGGATATATCCGGCTGTGCCCTTTAGATCGGGCGGTGGCTCACGCCACCTAGCCATTAAGTTAGGCACTATCACAGTGTGTTTAAAGATTAAATTTCACTCGCGCCTCGATTATAGCCACCAATCAGTTAGCCTCCTCCTAGTTAATTCTACCCGTTTAAAGTCTATTTTGCCTTCACTGTCCCTAAACCCCAATGCTTTGAAAAATTCGGCGCCATTATCTCCGACTATAGGGCGGAGCCCTATACAGAACATTTTCAAATGTTCAGCCGTTTCCTCCTCCTCTCCACACGCACTACATACCGTGTCTGTGCCTTCGTATTTTGCTTGGTACGTCTTGGTCCACAATACTCCCGTTCTAGCCTCGAAGAGCAGAGAAATACCCCGAGAATTATCGTAGATCTTTTCGCTTGCAATTTCCTGCTTAAAAGTAAGGTAGGTCTCCAGTGATAATTTCGTAAACATTCCCATCTTCCACATGTCCCTCTCTGTTTCCTTCACCTTCTTCTGAACCGATGTTTACTTTTGGCTTGGTATTCTGCTGTTATCTAAATACTTCCTTGACAGTTTTCGAGTTCGCTTCCTCCATTTAGTATCAACATTCTTTATGTACAAGTAGCCGAAAACTTTCCCAGCCCGACGCTCCTCTCCGATTTTTCTCAATCGCTCCTCAAATTCTATCTTGCTGCTAGCTTCCCTCTACTCAAACGATGTCTATCCCATGTCTCCGTGTACCCCCTGATTTGGGGTAATCCCGTGTTGTCCCAAAGCAAGTCTACCTATGCCACGTTGTTTAATTTCCAATTTTGCTTGAACGTCTGATTTCATGCACAAGACCGTATTGCCGAACGTGCAACCCTGTACCATGACACCTTTCCAAATTCCCTCTCACAACGTCACACCTATTATAGTTCCACAGTGCCCTATTTTTCATTACAGCTCCATTCCTGGTGCCCTTATTCATTACGTATTGTTCGTGCTCCCTCAGATACTCAGCCCCGTTATTTATTCATACAACCAAATATTTGTATTTATCCACTATTTCTAGCGTGACTTTTCTGTATCTTATGCTCACTGCCTTTGTTATCATTAATAATCACGGTTGCGGATTTTCCCTGCTGAACTTCAAATTTAACCTATCCCCCTCACTACCACAAATGTCTATCAATCCATGCAGATCTTCTTAGTTGTTGGCTATTAATACTATATCATCCGCATACATCAATGCTGGTAATGACTGTTCAATGTGTTGTTTGCTTGGCAAAAGAGAGGCTGAAGCCGAGTCGACTCCCCTTTAATTGGGCTTCGAGTCCCTGGAGATACAGCATAAATAACAAAGGTGACAAGAGACATCCCTGTCGAAGCCCGCGTTGTATTTCTATAGATTCAGATACCTGTTCTTCCCATTCGATAACTACCTTGTTACTTTTATAGATATCCCTTAGAAGATTAGTTACTCCATCTTCCACATCTAGTGTGTCCAGTATTCCCCCAAGTCTTCTTGAACCACACTATCGTAAGCTCCCTTGATATCTAGAAATGCCAGCCACAGGGACATGTGTTCTTTTCCCGCTATTTCAATATACTGCATCAACCGACATTAGACGCTTGCCGACATTAGACGCTTACAAGTCGAACGCTCAGGTGTTTCGCTCCTAAAATACGCGTAATATCAAGGAAGGAAGAAGACAAAAGAGAAACGGACGCGCTTTTTCGTTATGTTTTATTTATTGTATTTCATTGACAAGTATCCCACGGACTAAAAGTATAAAAAGCAGAATAAACGGCCCCCTTTACATGATTAGGGCAATGAACACTCCTACCAAGCCTCCCTCCACACCCCACGTCTTATCCGTTCGAACGCCCACTAGTCTGTCACTCTTAGTCCATCCGCTGCCGGCTTATTCCGCTTCCAGGAGAACCCAGAAAAGGCACCCGTGGTTCTGTGGCTTCAAGGCGGACCGGGTGCTTCCTCACTGTTTGGACTGTTCGTGGAGCATGGACCATACCTGGTGGCTAAGGGAGGCGTACCAGAGTTTCGCAACACCACGTGGGCTAAGCGTTACTCCATGCTGTACATCGACAACCCGGTCGGGGCCGGCTTCAGCTTCACCCAGGACGACCGGGGCTACGCTCGCAACGAGGACGACGTCGGCCGGGACCTGCACGAGGCCCTGCAGCAGTTCTTCACGCTCTTTGACGAGTACGCATCTAATGACTTCTACGCAACGGGAGAATCATACGCAGGTGGGTTCACCTTGCAACTCTTGTGTAGATTTTTTGGACAACATAATTTATTAGATTTTACCTTTACGCACTGATATTACCGTATAATTGTTATGCGGCATTTCGCATAAGAGTCAATCTAACTTTTTTTTAATTCTAGTCTAGTAAATAAGTAAACAAAAAGAATTGAGTTAAATTGAATTTTGACCCACTTGAGTTCTTCAATGGAAACCTAAACTTAATTAGAAGGTTGCCTTTGTGCATCTCTTCCATCAAAAAACTGCCACCGTGCCCTAAGAATAGAACTCACGTCCTCGGTGTTGCTCGCGCAACCCTTTACCTGTATTCACTGATACACTATGCTGTGCTGTTTTTCGATTGCTTGGTGATGAAGAAGCCTTATTTCAGCTACTAACTGTTCATTAGGTCCATGGCGAAAGGGTGACATAAGACATTGAAGAGATGCCTTCGAGTATGAGAAGATAGACCAAATTCCCGAAGGTTCTTTCACTATAAACTCCAGAGCTGCATGTATGGCCGCAAGTTCTGCAGCTGTCGACGACGTCAGATGCGATGTCATGAATTTAATTGTGATGTGTCTCGCGGGAATAACCACCGTCCCTGCAGAGCTTACTGAAGACACCGAGCCATCCGTGTAAATGTGAAGACGTCCGTTGTGCTTCTCTTGCAGGAAAAGTAATGTGGCCTGTTTCAGGGCTATATGCGACGACTTTTTCTTATTTTGCGGTATATATGGTAATGACCGCGCAGATGAGGCCGCTAGATCTGCACACGATGGTACCCAATACACAGCCATCCCGTTCTCAAGAACTGACGCAGCTACAAGACTTCGTTCGCTTGCACGTGACCTCACACTGGTACAGTGGAACTCAACAGACTTCATAAATGCACGCCTGCATAACTTGGATCCCGATCTGCAGCTTCGTCTTCCCCCAAGGATATCTCGAGCTGAGGAGACTCTTCTATGCCGCCTGTGGCTTGGAGTAGCCTTCACGAACGCATACCCTCATCTCATTGGGATGGCCAGCTCTCCTATATGCATTTACTGCAGTTGCGAAGAAACTATCGCGCACCTTCTGTGTGAGTGCACCCATTTCAACGCGCAAAGACAAGAACTCACTGCAGCTCTGGATAGACTAGACGATCGGCCTTTGTCGGAACAAAGGATTCTGGGTCATTGGCCGAGCCCATCCTCAGCCCAGAAGGCTTTGAAAGCTTTGCTGCGCTTTTTGCGGACAACTAGTCTCAGAGACAGACTTTAGTGTCTTATACTCTTTGATGTTGCCTTTCCTCTGTCGCATTTTTTTTTTGTATTTGCTCTCTCTTCACAACATTTCTTTTTAACATCTTTCATTCCCCTCACCCCTTTCCCCAGCACAGGGTAGCCAGCCGGTCTAA